GGCGACAACAAAATGAACTATCAAGGAAACGTTGGTTTACTCTGCAGGCAGAACAATGCACCTGTTATACGACAAGGAAACGTTGGTTTACTTTCCAGGCAGAACAATTCACCTGTTATACGAATATTTGAATATTTTGCACTATTTGTGAATCTAATATTAAATCAGTTTTTTAATGATATGAAAGAATTGTATTTACAATTTATTCCTGTGCGGTGGTTTCCGAGTTGGTTAGCTCGTTGTACTGCTTTTGAACAGATTCAACAATGGGGCTGGCTTGCTCCTTGATGTTGGCAACAACAGGCGCGACACGCTCTTGCAAATCCGCGATGATAGGCTCAGCTTGAGTCTTTATTTCGGCAACAACTGGGGCGGCTTTCTCGTTGTATTGATCTTTAGCCATGTTGACCTTCTCGACAACAGCCTCGGACACGGTGCTGTATTGCTGGCTGACGCTCTCCTTTGTGCTTTGGTATTGTTGGTTGACTTTCTCACTTGCACTAACTAACTGAGCGTTAGCTTGGTCTAGGACCTGTGCTTTCTTGGCGGCAGCTGCATCGATGATATCCTCGGCGGGTGTCTCAATAACGGGGTACTTCTCAACTACAAAGTTAAAGTTGCTGAGCAAAACATCGTTAGCCTTGGTCAGGTACGCCATGAAAGACTTATTGTCAAAAACAGGGGATACATACTCGTACAGAACGGACTTCTGATTCTCCAGGAACGTGGCAGCGTTATTGAAATAAACGCTGGTCTTCTTTCCATGTTCATATAGAGAGGTGGCGCGTGACGAAATGTATGCTACAATGGGTACGGCAGCAACACGCGAGACGATGGTTTGTTGAGGCTGAGACTGTTGATCGGCCATTTCGATTTAAGTTGTTTTTAAAGTGTATATGATTGTATGCTGTATGCTTATGTAGAACACCAGTTTATATACGCGGCAAATTTGTACGCAGAAATGCATCAACTGTTAAAATAGCGAAATATCGAGAGAGAAAAATCGGATACAATTCTGAACTCTAAAGCCGGAAGCTGTAAATAGTACCACCCTTTCTGTAAAACGCAAGTCACGTTCCAATATCTTCACAACGGCTGCGGGCTGTAGTGAATGTATGGGCAAAGATTACAAAGTATTGATGGGTAGTAATCGAATATTTTCTATTTTTTAACTATAAAACCTAACAACGTGGCTTTATGAGCCAATGAGAAATTAGTAGATGAACGTGATGGCAGTTTGCCACAGTTATCCTCTATTTTACTCTTTTTCTTAGAAATAACAACTCCTACCAATTGTTCGTCCTCGTATCAGTCAGCTCAAATTGCATTCTCCTTTTTCAAGAACCAACAACAAATTGATCCGTTAAAAACTATGTTTTTTTTCACAACAAATTGTTGTATATGCGAACGCCAAACAGACGACTTACATACACACATACCATTGAAATTATATGTATGCGTAGTTGCGTACAGACTTCTTGACTTGTGTATTTACTATTTAGTGTAAATGCATTTTATTTATTTACCGGCGTTGAAGCTAGACACTCCTGGCTCCAGACTCCACCAACCGGTGTCTTTATTCTGCAAATAATTCGTTTACAATTTACCTGCAGATGCGTCATACATTACAGTGCTTTCTGTCAAGTCAGCCCTATTGCTTACGGTGCTCCTGCAAATCGAAAGGTAGCGAATGCAATTGTAATTAGTGTTGTTGTATTAAAGGCATAGATGTCATTCCACCGAATTCTGACAGTCGTTGCCGGTTTGCGCTGCGAAGATGGCTTATGCAAAAGCTGTTATTGGACGAAGAATCTGACGAGGGATGTCAGTTAAGTTATTTGGTATTGTATTCTGTATTTTATCTCAATACAGAAGGCATGAGGAACAGTGGAGAGAAGAGAATATTGTGTTAGTGCGAAAAAGTTCACGAAGCATCGTCAATCGTTTTCATAAGTAGCTAAATGATTTGAAGCAGGGCTAAATATGTTATAAAAAAGGTATAAATAAAACTAATGTATATATGTAAATAAAACTATATATATATATATTTATTTTTATCGATAGATTGAAATAGGTGAGAAAGATATGGATGTATATGTTAGCATACATGAATAATTGATAAAAGGATATGCATACGTCACATTTGTAGATGTATACATTCTACGATTATACATATATGCATCTATATATATATGTATATATACAAGCGTACACACACACACACATATATATATATATATATGTACATATATATATATATAAATATATGTACATATATATATATATAAATATGTACATATATATATATATAAATATGTACATATATATATATATAAATATATGTACAAATATATATATATAAATATGTACATATATATTATAAATATATATATGTGTGTGTGTGTGCGGAAGTATATGAAGAACATTGTTAGACGGATACGTATTCGTATACAAATTACATATATATATATAAATATGTACGCATAAACATAAATTTTGTTGAATGAAATACGTAAAGAACAAAATATTGATAGAAAGACACGAATTGTAATTGTATAAATTCAGATATATAGACACATATATATAAACAGATACATAAAATAGTTTTTGAAGCATGAAATGTATGAATTATGAATTTATGGCTACACACACATATATATATATTATATATATACACATATATGATTTGTGAAGCATAAAATGTATAAATATGTCATTATAGCTACACATATACATATATATATATATAAATATATGTATTTGGATATATATATATATGTATATATATTCATAGATCAAAACAGGTAGGAAAGTTAAGTATGTATATGTATAAATATAAAACATGCACACACACACACACACATATATATATAAATATAAATTTGAAGTATGTATATGTATAAATATAAAACATATATATAAATTCCGAAAGATATATATATACATATATTTTAAATATGTGTGTATGTGCGCAATTCGAAGTGAACGGATTGTCGTGCAGAGGGAGGAGTTGCGTGAGGTATTTTTTTTTGCCTGTAAATGTGTATAAATAGTCATGCATGTATATACCTACATATCAAAAATGGTAAGCATGATTACAATTGTTGCAGAACAATGAGAGCCATTTTGAGCACATATTACGCTGCAAATGGTTATGATTCAGCAGAACAAGAAGTATATACATTCACTCCACATATATTATATGTACAAAAAATTGTTTGTTGGATGGACTGGTGAAACTGTTCACATATACAGACTTATATATCATCATAGTATACAAATGAATATATCTTATGCATCAACCGACTGTACGATACTATTGCTGCCTCCCACAATACAGGCACCGCAAAAATACAAATTTAGCAAAGTAGAACCCAAGCAGAACATTGCATGCCTTAAGGTGCTTTTGTTTGCGCCTCAAATTTCAATTTGCACACATATGGGCCGTACTAGCGAACACGTATCAAGTTGGCAACCATTTCTCACACAACAGCACAATACATACTGTAATTAGATAGTATGCACAATAACATACCTTCAGGTACTGTAGTTTTCGCCGTACTCTTCTTTTTGACGTTTCGTTTGGCATTGCGCTTCTTTCGCGAGCCCTTGGGCAACGCCGGCGACGATACTACTTTGATTGTTGAGGGAGCACTCAAATTATCACCACTCTCTGTGTTCCCTGTTAAGGAAGCTTCAGTTGAATCCTTAGGTTCAACTTCGCTCGCCTTACTATCTCCTGCTTGTTCTACATCTATCTGAACCGTTTCAACCGTTTCAACCTGAATTGGCGTGGATACCTGTGACTCTTTATCTTCAATAGTTTCAGCTTCAGCTTCACTTATAGAGTCCTTTGTGGCGCTGGTTACTATAGTAACGGGTACATCTGGCTCTTTATCTTCAATAGCTTCAGCTTCAGCTGTACTTACAGAGTCCTTTGTGGCACTGGTTGCTGTAGCAACGGATACATCTGGCTCCTTATCTTCAATAGTTTCAGCTTTGGCCGCACTTACATAGTCCTTTGTGGCACTGGATGCTATAGTAACGGATACATCTGGCTCCTTATCTTCAATAGTTTCAGCTTTGGCCGCACTTACATAGTCTTTTGTGGCACTAATTGCTATAGTAACGGGTACATCTGCATGTACATCCGGCTGCGAACATGTACTCTCAGTGCGAGCCACGCACTTCGCAAATTCCTCGACAATCTTGGTATCGCCTTGGATAACTGGCTCTGTAGACTCTGTAGTTGTTTCACTCTCAACCTCAGCTGCGGTCGTATCCGGAGCAACTGAACAGTCCTGTGCCTCATTACCATTTTTAGGTGTATCTGCATTGGCCTCGATTACTTCAGCACTGAAAGTGACCAGAGATGTACGTTCCTCGTTTATGTTGTCCTCATTGCTGTCTCCCCCCAGACTTTGCTTAACCTGACTAACCACGGTATCTAATCTGTCTTTCTTCTGATACAAAAAGTTTACGTATGGAGCTGCTCTTTCCCTTAATGAGCCTAGATTTGGCTCTACAATCGACTCATAGTATGAATGCCACGCTTCTAATAATTCCTCAACAGTGATGTTCACACCGGGGTGTTTGGCAACAAACCTATCAAAATAGCTCATCATCATTACATCAATTTGTTTTAAGCGATCGTTGGCCTTCACGCTATCAAGGGCGGGTTCTGCATAGTGGATTGCGTTGGCTACTATACACTCAGTGTACTCTGAAGCGAGCTTGTAGAGGGCATGCTGTTCGAGGGCTTCGGCATGTTTCTTAACGGCCAATTCGTTCACCATCGATACCACAGGTACCGTACTCAACCGGGTGAAGATGGTCTGATCTCTATAAACGTCTAACTCAGACATAATTACCTGAAGTGAGAAGATATGTATCCCGCTAACAAATTTTGATTAGTTATAATATTTATTACAAGCAACTCAATCCCTCTACACTCTACAGTATGTAAACGAATACCCCAGAGTGCTCATTTATATATCGAGTGTATGCGGTTAAATGATACATACATCATGTATACATGTAAATATATTAATATTTATATGTACAAGTATGCAAGTATATCAGTTTCTCAACTCTCAAGTGATGAGCACAATATTTGTTTATATTTTTTTATTGTCAAATGATGACATCTTCATCGCCCCCGCAGTGTCACAGTAGGCACTGGGCATCACACCTCAGCCTGTCACAGTCCTGCACCACGTTTTGAAAGCGGCGGGACTTTTCAAACTTCGAAACCCAAAACCTGTCAATTTAAAAATCTACAATAGGATACCCACAGTCACACAAGAGATGGCAGTGAATGTCTATGAGGCTGTGTATGAGGCTATCCACTGTATACAGTGAAAAAGAAAAAAATGCAGCAGAAAGTGCCAGAAACCTTATGTTTTTTATAGTGTTGTAGAATGTAGACTCCTAAATACAATAAATAAAACAGAGGCTATGATAAAGTAGAACTGTAGAAGACGTGAGGGTTTTTTATAAACTTCGTGCAAATGTTTTTTGTTTTTGTTTGGAAACAAACAAAGTTTTTTGGTTTGTATTGAGAAGAAAAATACAGATAACATATTTTTGGGGGGTAAAAATCAACCAGGGCGGAGAAAATTCACCTTGTGTATTACGTTCAGAGGGCAGATTTTTGGATTTGGAGAATAAGGACCGAACTTAGGGACCTTATTTTTTTTATATAAACAATAGACGACGAATTATGATACATTGAGTCCCAGTCCCCCGAACGGCAATCACTAACACACGGTGACCTAACGTCAAGCCATTTCCCGTTAAACCGTTTTCAGATTGAATAGATAAGCGTTTCTGTTCAACTTTATACAACATATGGCCGGTGGCCCAAAAAACACGGCCCTATGGATTAGGGTCGCAAACAGAGACCAGGTTTCTTCCGATGACGCAGAAACCCTAATCCAGAGGGCCATGCAAAAAAATTGATTATCACAGTTTTAGCGCCAAAAAATCCGAAATCCGAAATCCGGTAGTAGTTGCTTTATTCTTAGTGAAAGTCTGAACTCTAACGCTGGACGTGGACTGCTTTTATAGTCCGCCGGGACCTATCTCTATCTATTCCCGAACAAACTTGTACTACTAACATCCTAGGCTATTAACTATAACTATAACACTTGTAGTGAGAGGGAAAGGCACGGGCCTAGAAAACCCTCTGTTACGATGTTCTCGACTTTCTCAAGGCGTCATCGTCTATGTATATTCGTAGACACTTTGCTCTGTTCGTGTATACATAGACAATTTTGGTATGACCCGTGTACAATGACACTCAAAAATCATCAGGGCCTGGTTATATACGATTAACCCTGGCTTGGGCCCTGAAATAAAAACCCAATGTGAATTTCCGGAATCATGACTCATCGTTCGTGACCCGCCAAAATTCAGGGTACCGAAGAGCAGAACAAAAAAACCGCAGAACTTGCTGTTTGCCAAAAGGCAAAATTGCTGTTCGACCAGACATTTTTCAGAGGCCAGAGGACCGAGTATATTTATTTTTAGACCTTTTCCACCTTTTTGTTGAATTTGTTTTTAAAGTTAAAATATACTAGAACATACAAACTTTCAGCCTAAGTTTCTGGTTGTTGCTTGTATTTTTTTATTTCGGTTTTTCATTTTAAAAATAGTATGAAGAACACAAAGGGCAGAAAGTGTATAATTTAGAAGGCTATGCAGAAAGGCTTTTTATTAAATTAAATAAAAATACCAAAAATGAGAAGAAAAAAAGCCAAAAGAGCGGCGGCCCGGCAGCCGCCGCTGGCAAACAGTCGACCCTTTGTTTTTACTTATTTCAAAAAAAAGCAAACAAAACATTAAGTCATATGTAGGACAAAGCCTTCTCAATTTAGAAGGCAATGCATAAATACATAAATAGCCTCCTAGAAATGAAGCAATGCATATATGTTCGTTTTGTTTTAAAGCAAAACAAAAAACAAAAATGCAGTTTGTATTGTTTTTTATCTATTTGTTTCTAAAAAGAGCTAATTATTAACATAAGCGAGAATTGATCGAAATAAATAATCAGTATCCTGTGAAAAACAGTTAGCAAGTCAAGCAACTTTCTTATTTGTTTTTTTGTAAAACAAAAAGCAATTCTCACGTCGTGAGACGAGAGTTCTTGACCTGACCCGTGAGTCCGTGACTGTGAGTTCGTGACTGTGAGTCCGTGTGACTGTGAGTCAGTGACTCGTGTGTCGTGACTCGTGGAGTCGTGTGCTGTGTCACTCCCCAGTGTGAACTGTGAATTGTCCAATTGTGAAGTTAGAAGGGCGGGCTAGGGTCAGTCTCGGGAGGGCCGGGATTAGTGGGCTGTGGGCTCTATATGAGACAAGGTTAATATGTCCTGTACTAAATAGTAAATATGATTCACACTCCACACTCCACAGTTCAGAGTCACAACGAGGACTGAGGGCTGAGTCCTATGGGTAATTAATTGGGTTACATATGAGACTCAGTTTCTCGGGGCCTCGGGCCTCGGGGGAGTTCCTGCCTCGTGGTCAGATATCAGTGATGCTATATATTTTCACTACTCTCATCAGATCATTGGAGAAATTACACCAGGAAGCGAGTAAAATTATTTATTACCATAAAACTCTGACACACTGTCACTCTGATGAGTCTCTGAGACTGTGAGACAGAACTGAAAACGTATTGAGAGTTGAGTTGTTGACTCATGAATCCAGATTCCAGAATCAACACTGTTGATGAGTGTTGTCAACTCTTTAGTCTCTTGTCTGTACTCTGTTCACTTTCTTGTTCTGTTGTTGAGTTGTTCACTGTTCCCTGTTCAGAGTTCAGACTTCAGTGTTGAGTTGCAAGATCGATGCTCAAAGAGGCACTACTCATGGAGTAAAGAGTCACTGCAACAATCAATGAACCAGTTGGGCAAAGGTCGGCTGCATTTTTATTGTCCTCTCAAAAACTGGGCCATGGGAGTTTCATTTGTTTTTATACCCTCGCTATTCATTCGTGTAAATCATATCACTACCGAATGCCGATTTCACAAATTTAAAAATTGAGGAAGATGATACGGTGATATCAGGATTTAGAAGCTTTTCTCTCCCTAGTACGAGGCAGAGCAATGGACTCCAGGGCTGAGAATGATGCTACGCCAAACTACGGCCTACGCCCTCGGCTCTACGACTACTCTACGAGTACAACCTACGTCCTACGTGCTAACGGCCGAGTCGAAAATTGCAGAACGAGACTTGTGTATATATATGAACCTCAGAAAAGGACAAAGTTGTATTATCACATATTTAGTTGTAAAGGTCACACATTTAGTTGTAAAGTCGGCCTTCAAAATGAGCAGCCTCTTGAGCAGATGTGCGTTTATCACTGCTGCTGCCTACTTCGCAACCATAGCGAATGCAGCACCAACCTCATCTAACTTCACTATCGGACTAAAGACTTTGATTTTAACTTCAGATGATGTCGCATCTTTTCTTCCAGAACAAATTCTGGAATCATACGGCGCGAGTTACGATATTCTTAATGTAGTTCAGAACTTTACACCGATCACTGAAAATCAATTAGAGCTCACTGATATCACTTCTGGACAACCTAAATACAATTCAATCGTATACACAAGCGTAACACTAGGTTACAACGACAAGGACGGCGTGTGGCAAGGCTATGGTTTGGATGCCTCCAACCGAGATCGTCTAGATGCTTACTGCGCCGAGTATGGCGTGCGACGTGTGTTCCTGACTGCTTATCCTCTCGACATCCAGGACCCAGCCATCGGTGTTGTAGATGGTGCTACAGGGATTGAAAGTGACGACATTTCCACTATGAGGTTTGTGGAGAACGACATGACTAGTGAATTGCACAATGCGCTGAACTTGGATGCCGCTTTCAAGATTGGCCAGGAGATCGGATTCGGTACCAACAAGTATTGGCTGACTCCTGCTCGTGTGGAAGCTTCGCTCAACCAGGACAATCATATCACTCCCATCATGGATTTAACATACATGACTGGCAAGGATCTGACGAGAAACATAGGCGCTCTAGTTGTGGCCAAGTTGGGCACCAAGGCTGAGGACATGTACTTTTTTATTACTCAAGACGTTTTCGGACTGCACGGTATGACGTTTGGCCATATGTGGTTTCCGTGGGTAACTCGCGGTCTGTTCGTTGGAGAGCGCAAGGTCAAATTGGGCACTCAGTTCGATGAAGTATTCATGGATGGCATTATGTACAATACGGTAGAGAACCGTAAAGGTCTCTTCAATGAAACCACGTCACCTTACACCTACCGTATCACTGCGGATGACCTAGAGGCACACAGTGCAGCGCAAGAGCGTATGAACCAGGAGCTACCAGAAGGTTCCAATATCACCCTGGAGATGTCTTTCAACGGTATTGGCTATGGCGAATTCGCGGATATGGAAGCATATGACCCGAACATGAATACGGCTGCAGTTGAGTTGTTTGATGAGTTCAGCTGGGTGAGTCACGAGTGGGCGAAACTCAACATGGATTGCTTCAATGGAATATGCGATGCGCCAATGGGAGGTACTCAGATCGACTACAATCTCCTGAGTTGTAGCGACTTTAACAGCAGCTGTTCCTTCGCTGGAGACGAGCCTATCTACCCCACAAGTGGATACACTCCATACGAGTATAATAGGTACGAGGTTTCACGCAATTTGTACTTTGCAGATGAAACTCTAAAAGCGAATAGCGAGGAGAACGCTGGATCCTGGTCACCTACATCGCTAGTAAGTTTCAATTCCACAGGATATTCGTATACCGAGGCCGTGAAAGCAATGTTAGAGAAGGGTGTGCGATATGGCGCTATCGTCAATTTGGAAACCAAGAACCCCTACCACCTTGAGGAGATCGAGGTAGTGACCGGTGCCGAAGGGAAAATTCTTGATACAGAGCAGAAGAACGCTTTCGTAGCTGAAATGGAGATGCAGCACAACGCGTCTGCTATCAAGGTGGTGCGCCGACAAGCAACACGTGTCTACAGTGACTGTTCTACTCCTACTCAGCTCACCATGGAGTTCAACTCGCTGTACGGTCCCAATTGCGTCCTATGTAACAACGGATCTTTCAGGTATGTATACATATCCGTGCCTCGCGCATGGTGAACGTGATGGGTTACCGTAGTTTCTTATCCACGAATGATAAAATTCCTCTGTTCTGGATGTATATGTACTCGCGGCAATAGATGTCGAATTTTATTTGTCAAAAAATCTAGGGCGTACATAATTTGTGTTTGATCTGATGCATCGTGAACATACTTGTGGCTGACTGCACTCCACCTATGACGTTAAATTCAATCACCTGAACTTGCCATGATATTTTAATGCACAGATACGAGCGTGACTTGACCTCGGACGAGATTATGTCCTTGGATGGCTTCGACGCTGCGAAGTTGTTGTTTGCCTTCAGAGGAGACGTTTATCAGTTCAATCAGATGAACATGCGTATGTACAGTAAGGAGAGTACCGATTCTTCTCTTGCACTAGATTGGATTGATGCGGCTACGCACTGGGTGCGAGAGTATACCTCCTTCCCCGTGTATGCGTACAAGTTTGATGACCTCGTTGCCGACTATTTGCAACGTGAAGAGCGTGACAATTGTAACATCACTGCTGGTATTGAGTATATTGATGGGGTCGCTACGGCCGTGAAGGTGAGCAGTCCGAACGCATGTGAAGCCAAGCTCACCTATACCACCACTTCAGGACAGACTGGACTCAAGCCAAAAATAGATGCTACAAACACATACGGAACGACCGATAGTATATACACGGCAAAGATCAACATGGACACTGTATCCATCCCACTTGAGGGCTGATCGCACTGTCGTTCTATGTACTGCATGCGTGCCAAGCCATCTGGTTTGTAGAACGCATTGTTTATGCGGTGGCGTATTTGTAATTGCTTAATTAATCATTAGAATAATAGTCCAAAATAATAAAATATAGGAATCGTACCTTGCTATAGCTATAGTTGGGGATCTAACCGTGCTATAGTTCGAAATCTTGCCGAGCTATGGCGGTAATTTACTCAACAGATTTTATTTACCAAAAAATATACCACATGTCATCGTTATCATCCCGAAACTCCGAACCCTAGAACCTTACTCATTATTTATATTACTTTTATAATATATAACTAGCTCGCTTTCTACAGATATCCGCTATATTTGCGCAAGAAGAGTATGTATTCTGGTCAACGAACATAAACACCTCTACAACTGGTAGAGCAGATAGATATACATTTGCAAAGTCTTACATCCGTAACAAATGTCTTCCGAGCACCAGATTTGTCGACTTTCCAGCAATAACCGGTGATACAAAGTCTTCAAGGTTGTACTATGGTCGATGGTCAGCATGTGCACATACACGAGGACATCCGTGACGAGATTGCAACACTCGAAGCCATCTATGGCGAACGTATAGAGACTTCGTATCCTACTACGCTGAGTGCAGATGTAACTGTGCAGTGCACCGTGTTGGTGGGGGGTGATGCTGACGACCAACTGAAACCCAATACCCACAGACTGGTATTATGGTTTCCACAGGGGTATCCAGAGGAAGCTCCAATACGCGCTAAGGTACGGGCCCTCCATACGAATATACTGTGGGAGAAACCTTCTTATCCAAGTCTAGTTGTATATGTTAGGTATTTGTTATAGATTACATATACATTTTGATATATTGTTATTTTCATATTAGATATGAGTCTCTATTTAAAAGGCTATGATATAAGCGCCTACTCTGTGCAAAAATGAAAATAAGCTTTTATTCATGTACACCTGATTTCTGTTCTGTAGGAACACATGTACATATATTAAACAACTGCATGGACATGCATGTATACAGTTTTCACACGCATTTTATATATTTATATTTATATATATATATTTATTTATATATTTATATACATATATATATATATATATATGTGTGTGTGTGTGTGTGTGTGTGTTTGTGTGTGTGTGTGT